TCTTTCCCTCAACGTCACTTCCTGGCATTAGAGCATCCTTTTGCTTCACTCTCTCTTCCTCTCAGTGCCTGCACTTGAGTCCTGTCCCTTACCAGCCTGGCAAATCCTGCTTCTCTAGCCCAGCCATCTCTAACTTGGCCCTTCTGTAGCTACTCCCAGCCTGACAGCCCCAGATTCTTTCCCCCTCCACAACTTTCCGGTCATCTGGCCCTCACCACAGGCCCCTGCCAACCTGGCTAGACTGTACCCTACCTAGAGATGGGAGGATAGGGAAGCTTATGAGCATGAAATGTCAAAGCTACAGATCAAAATTTCTTTTCCAGTGGAGAATAGGAAACCCTTGTGCACTGTTTGGGGGATTGTAAATTGGTACAGTCACTATGGAAAACAATTTGGAGGTTCCTCAAAAAATTAAAAATAGAACTACCTTATGACCCAGCAATTGCATTTTTGGGTATTTATCCAAAGAAAACCAAAACACTAATTTGAAAAGATATAAGCACTTCTATATTTAGTACTATTTACAGTAGCCAAGATATGGGAGCAACCTAAGTGCCCATCAATAGACAATTGGATAAAGAAGTTGTGGTTCATATATACAATGTAATATTACTCACCATTAAAAAAATGAAATCTTATCATTTGCAATGACATGGATAGACCTGAAAGGTATTATGCTAAGTGAAATAAGTAAGACAGAGAGACAAATACTATAGATACAGAGAACAAACTGATGGTTGCCAGATGGGAGGGGAATTGGGGGCTGGGTGAAAATGGTGAAGGGATTAAGAAGTTCAAATTGGTAGTTACAAAATAGTCATGGGGATGTGAAGTATAGAATAGTGAATATATATAGTCAATAGTATTGTAATAACCATGTATAGTGCCAGGTGAGTACTAGCTAATCAGGGAGATCACTTTGTAAATTATGTAAATGTCTAGCCACTGTGTTGCACACCTGAAATTAATATAAAATAATATTGAATGTCAACTCTAATTGAAAAATAAAAATTAAAAAAATAACTTCTTTTCCAGAGAGAGTAGCCCTGTAATCAGGAGGTAGCAGGGAGAAGAGTGGGAAGATGTGTTCTGGTATATACCAACCTGAAACCAGATCCATTATTCAGGGGTCAGGAGTACCACTTCTGGTCCCAGCACTGCCATGACTCACTGTGTGACAATAGGCACACCTACACTGACCTAGACCTTAGCTTCCTTTTCCAGCTCAGTTGGGAATGCCTATCTCTCTCAACCTAGAGACTGGAAACCCCTGATATGCTTTCTCCTGGCCTCATGTAAATGCATTTATCAAAACCTGTGATTATTTGTGTGACCATATGATTACTTGATGTCAGTAAACCCTATGAGGGCAGGATCATTGCTGCTTTGTTCATCATCCTTTCTCTACCATTCAGCAAAGTGCTAAGCACTCAGTAAAAATTGGTGAATGAATAAATGAATGAGAAAGAAGATCTCAGGATGAAAGAATGTCAGAGAAGGGGATTCTCAAAACTTAGGGAGTACCTTGGGGAGTTAATAGAAACTCTGCCCTAATTTGTACAAAAATCCCGCAGAGACTTTGGTCACCTGAGTGTTTGGAAACCTGCACCATATGCCAAGTTTATGCACTAGGGTTTTAAAGATCTTACCATCATATCTGTGTAGTCATTTCAATGCTCTGCCTCCCAGCACTGCTTTCAAGCCCCAAGCCTCCTTTGGCCTAACTGGACCAGCCACCTGGCCAACATGGCCTTTTATGTTCTCAACCTAGTGGTGCCATCTAGTGGCACTGCCCCATCCTCTTAACCAGGACCTCGGTTGTATCCAGCTAGCCTTTAGCCTGCCACTCCCTAGAACCAAGTGCCGGATACCTCACAGCAGACCCTGTGGAAAACAGAGCTAGGTGATGACCACTCCAGGTTTGGAAAAATACTTTCTCTCCTCTCTTCTGAGCTCTAGGCCTATGTATTCCCCTCTTTCCCAGGCATCTGCCTCTAGAGGTCTTACAAGTGTCTCACCTTCAGCATGTCCTATGCTGAACTCATTGTCTCTTCCCCATACTCATGCTCTTCCCCCAATGTCATTCTCAATGAATCACACTGTCATTCATTTAGTCTGCAAAGTAGAATCCTAGGAGTCACCCATGATCCCCCTTTCTCTTCTTCTCACTTCTAATTGGTGATCAGATGTTCTCTGTCCCCTCCTAAGTATCTTCCAAATTCTATCTCACCATACCTGTCATCACCACTGTAGACTAAGCCACCATCTTCTTATCTGTATTATCCATAAGCTTCTAGTTACTCTTTCTGCTTCCCGTCTTTCTCTTCACTCCCGCTCAACCCCAATCAATCTACCATCCTGTGCTTCTGATCATGTCACTCTTTGGTTCAAAAATCTTTAGTGATTCTCCCCTTAAGGTAGTAAACAAGCCTGGGAAGACCTCAGTCTCTAGCCAAGATCTCTCTCTTCTGAGCTCTAGACTTGCCAAGTCAACTCTACTAAAGGTTCTTTTGTCATAAACCCAGCTAAAACTGAGTTATATCTAGAAGGAGAATTTTATTGGGTAGCATAACTGAAAAGTTCAGGGGTATGGAGCTTCAGGCATAGCTGCATCTAGGTACTTAAAAAGGAATAGGCTTTTCTCCATCTTTTGCTTTGCTTTCCTTTTTAGGGGTTTCATCTTCAGAAAGCCTCCCATATGGTGGGGGCAAGATGCCCCTAGCAACAACAGGCTTACATCTTACCACTTTAGCAACCGAACCAGAAAAAAAGTCTTTCTCTTTCCTAATAGTTCCATCAGAAGAACAAAGTTTGAGTCTCATTGGCCTGGTGCTGATCACATGCCTATCCCTGAACCAGTCACTGTACAGAGGTTCCTGTTCTGACTGGCTAGGCCTAGCTCGTATATTTACTCTAGTCAGGAATGAGGAAATGAGGAATGAGAGAGGAGATGATGTTCTCTAAAGAAAATTGAATAGGCAGTGATATCTAAGCAGATAAAAATTAGATGCCTACTACGCCAGCTGCCTCCAGACAACTCTTGCTGGTGTTTCACAAATTTAGAAGAGCCAAAATTAAACTCATCTTTTCCCCAAAACACTTGTTTATTCTGGTCCCAAACTAACCTTTTCCCAGTGTCCTGCTGTTGCTCTTACATATCAGTAAAATCAGTGGTATTATTGCCCCAGTACTTACACAGTAGGGTACTCAGTAAATATTTTTGTTCAATAACTGAATAACAATAATTGGTGGAATAAAAAGTCTTGAATAGATCCAACTTTGATGGGGCCATATCACCTTTATCACTTGGATTCTCTTATTTGATTGGAGAAAACAGATTTAAGGACAAGAACCTGCAAATATCAACTAGAATTAGCTTATAAGGTTGGATTTTGAAGGTGGAAATGGCTCCTGATGCCATGTGGAACAATGGAAAGGAAGTTTTCAAGTTATGGAGACTCTTGGTTCTGCCATTTCTTTATTTATGACCTTAAGCAGGCAGTGTCACCTTGATCGGTTCCCAGTGTCCTCATCTGTAAAATGGAGAAAGTGGACTATCTCATAAAGTTATGGGATATGTATGTAAAGTGCCCGATATGTAGTCAGCATCAATAAATATTAGTTCAAAACCTTTTCCTGTAGTTCTTTTGAAATCTCTCAGGGCCAAGGAGAGTTCTGTGCCCACAGTAGGTGTTTACCATCTGTTTGTTGAATAAATTCAAGTTTTATTTAGACTCTGCGATGCTGGAGCTGAGAGAGGCAAGCATGATCAACTGAAAGAGGCTTCTAGAGACAAGTTTCTTTTTTTAAATAAAAATTTAAATACAAATTACATGTTTGTGGTAAAAATAAGTAAACAAGCAAATGAACAAGGACTAGTGAGGAAAAATAAATGTTCCCTTCCCTATTGCTATCTCTTCACATTTTTCCTTTTTATTTAAAAATATATGTATTGATTTTAAAAATATATATATATACATATATATATGAATGGTAAAAATTTCAAACAAAACATTCTCTCACCCCATCTCATTCACACCTTCAGTATCTTTCTCAAAAGTAAATACCATAAATAATTTCTAAACATTATCTATATACATATGTGGTTTCTTATTGACATAAAAGAAGAGAATGTGGATGATGGAGGGCCTTGAACACCAAGCCAAGGAGCTTAGATTTTTTATTATGTTGACATTGGTGAACCATGATAGTATTTTTAATAGGAAACTATAAGTCAATTTTTAATATTATCCCACAGACTTTTAAAGAGGGGATTCTCCTAGTGCATAGTAGCAGGTGCTTAAAAAAAAATATCGAATGAATGAACTTCTAAAAACACCTTGTGAGTATAGCAAGGTATTGAGGTCAAGATACCAAACTATTTCTTTACTGTTCACAAACACTCAGAACCTTTAGGTCATTTAGAGGCCTGAGTTCAAGGCTGAAAGCACCCAGGGAAGGGAACTGTGGGATAGAGGAGGGTATCAGCCCTGGCTAAGATGGAAAAAGGGTGGAAATAACCTTGAGTAAGTACCTAAAAGGTGCCTGGTATACATTGCCTCATGGAAAACTTGTACGAGTCTGGTCAGTTAGGGATTAGTTCCATTATTAGGATGAGAAAAGTGAGGCTCATGACCTGAAGTGATTTGTCTATAGTCACTCAGCAGGTAAGTGGCTTTCAGGTCTCCATACCTCCACTCTGCCATCCTCAGATCCATTCCCCCAGATAGCAGCTAGAGGGATCTTTTAAAACACAGAACAGATGGCTTCACATTCTCGCTTAAAACACTCCAGTGGCCTCCTGTGGCTCTTAGGTTAAAATCCAAGCTTCTCACTAGGCCCACAAGACCCAGTGCATCTGGCCTAATCTCCACCCCACTGCTCTTTCCCCCTGCTCACCACGCTGGAACAACCCAGGGCTTGGTTATTTTTTTCTAATGTGCCATTTCATTCTTACGTTAGGGCCTTTGCACCTGCTGTTCCTTCTTTCTGGAACACCACATATTCACCCCTTCCTCTACATATGGCTGGCGCTTTCTCATCCCATAGTTCTCATCTTAAAAGTCACTTCTGCTGAGAGGCCTTGGCTGATTTCCCCAACTAAGTATCCCCCAACACACACTACTATTGTCTCATTTAATCCTTTTTCTTCATAGCACCTGCCACAACTTGTAATTATAGACTCCTTTGTATATACTTACTTGTATATTATCTTTTTCCTCCACTGGTCTGTGACCCCCTAGGAGGGCAGGAACTTTCTGTACCCTTTCCCCTAGCATCTAGCATAGGGGCAGATACATAGCAGACCCTTCATATTTGTCGAATTAATGAATGGATAACTGAAGGGAGGTTGGAAGACAGGGCCTGTCCATTCAGGTTGGATAGCTGTCTCCTTGCATAGAAGATTGAGCCCAGCTCTAGCACTATCTGGTTTCCAGTGAGAGCCCAACCCCGCCCACTCCCCCCCCCCTCCCCTGGCCTCTCCAGGAAGTGTTCACAGCTCTGGGTCCTGGGTCCCAAGAAATTCGTCCTACGGGAGGTAATCCAGACGCCCTGCTGCCCAGCTGGGGGGGGTCCCTGCCCCTTCCCAACTGATCGCTGTCCCTATCTGCCCCGGGGCTTAGGGAAAACCCTGAAAGGTGAGCAGCGCGGTGTAGCGGCGTTTGTTTGAAGGGCACAGAGGAAGTGGGGACTGGGAACATCCCCGCCTGGAGGGCAGGCAGGGCAGGTTAAGAGGCGCCAAACCGACACCACCACCACCCTATCTCCCCTAACCCCCACCTCCCACCCCCGGGCTACTCGCAGACCCGGACTCCTTCCTGAAGTCAGCACGTCTGCAGCGGCTGCCGTCGTCATCATCAGAGATGGGCAGCCAGGATGGGTCGCCTTTGCGGGAGACGCGCAAGGACCCGTTCTCTGCGGCCGCAGCCGAATGCTCCTGCCGCCAGGACGGGCTCACAGTCATTGTCACAGCCTGCCTCACCTTTGCCACGGGTGTCACTGTGGCGCTCATCATGCAGATCTATTTCGGAGACCCTCAGGTGAGAAATTGCTTGAGGAGACCGTGGGAATTGGGGAATGGCTGAGTGGTGGAAGTGGGCCTGGAATTGGAAAGGGAGGAGGGTGGTGACATGAGAGAGGAAGTTCCCAAAGGGAGGGGCTCCTGGTATGAAGGGACAGAACAAGGAAGGGACCTGATCAGGTAGGAGGCACATGAGATAATAAGGGAAGAGTCAGGAGAGAGTCAAAGGAACAAGAGAGCAGGGCTCCCACCCCCACCCCCACTCCCTGTGGAGGTTGGTGGAGGTGCCCTGGGAAAGCAGGGGACTCCTACTGCCCCTACCTAGTCCTTTTTTCCTTCTCAGATCTTCCACCAGGGTGCCGTGGTGACTGATGCCGCCCATTGTACATCACTGGGCATAGAGGTGCTCAATAAACAGGGATCTTCCGTGGATGCTGCTGTGGCAGCAGCCCTGTGTTTGGGGATCGTGGCTCCGCACAGTTCTGGCCTAGGCGGGTAAGGAGCTCCCAGCTGTGAAGGTTGGGGTCCCCCAGGCTTACTTCTTCTGGTCTGTAAGCCTCATGTGGCGGGGAGTCCTCCAAGTTTGAATAGAGGGGCAGTTGGGCCCCAACTTTTTGTATTTTCTCTTTCTATGCCCAATTTCACCACCTTCTCCTTGTACTGAGTCACAGGAGGTGTTTTCAGAAGGTTCTTTTTTCTAACTTGGAAAATGAGGTACACAGGTGGGGATATGCTGTCATTAATTAAGCCAATGATACTTTTAGGGTCACAAATCCCCGTGAGTCTATTTAAAATATACCCCAGGTTTATTGCCCAAAATACAACCCAGGCTAAGAACTCTTACCCTACTAAGATTACAGACTGGCTACCCATTGCCACACCCAGCACACAGACTCGTTTCGTTTGCACACTTAAATTTTTAAAAATTTGTTTCTTATTATTATAAAGTTGAGAATTTTCATAAAAATTTGGATTTCTAACATCTCTTAAACCTAGAGAGACCTGGTAACACTTGGCCCACATTTCCACATGGCTGCAATTATCTAGAACTGAGTAGAAGCTACTTCCCATGTTGAGGTTCGTGCCTGTCCACTTTGCCACAGTTCCTACCACTGTTTATTGTTTATCTGTCCTGCTTTCTTTATTATGTTACTGGGCTGTGAGCCAACCATCTCAGATGCAACTACCATCTCGGATGGAAACAAGCCACAGAAAAGGGACAAGCTGACAAAGTCTATATCTTGGTTCCTTTAAGACCAGCTCTCCAGTCCTTACCAAAGAGATTCCCTTTCTGGTTTTGCACAGTCTGTTCTTACATAATTCAGTCCTGGGAGAGGGAGCGGGGCATACCAAAGAGGCAGGTGCAGGAAGCTGGCAGGGGTCCAGCTGTGGTCTGGGGTGGGGTGGGGGCAGAATGTCCTGCTCTCCCAGTCTCTGGGTTTTTCCTAATCAGGGATTAAAGTCTCCAGTGACAGGCTGGGAAAGGTCCACTGACTCTGGATACCTGCCTTGATTTCACTCACCAGCCTTGTGGTGTGACTGTGTCTGTGAATCACTGCTGGAGAGGGGGCTCAAACGCCTGACTCCTGGTGACAAACTGAGCCTACAGCTATCACCATTACTATTGGGGGTTGAGGGGTCGTAGCTTAATTGTTAAGAAGGGTGGCATCTTTTCATCACCCTCTCCCTTCTGTGTCTCTCCCAGTGGGGGTGTGATGCTGGTACATGACATCCGACGAAATGAGAGCCACCTAATTGATTTCCGGGAGTCTGCACCAGGAGTCCTCAGGGAAGAGGCCCTGCAGAGATCCTGGGAGACCAAGGTGGGGACTCTGGTGAGAAGAGAAGGTCCAGGGTGGGATCTCCCTTCATTGCCCTCTGCTAACCCAGGCATTACTTTGCTGAATATTTACCGTGGAGGTGAGGGAATGAGCTGAGCAGGATGCTCTTAGGCTCTGAGGGAGACAGGCAGCCCCGCAAATAAAATAATCAACCAAAAGATCTCAATGGTAGATAACAGCCAATAAAGCAATACCTTTCTTCTGGTGACCTTGCCTGTCTGGCACATAGAAAGGGGAAAAAAAAAGGCCATTGAGCAGCCTGAGATATCACAAAGTTGCCACACTATCACTCACACATCTCCCTCTGAGCCTGCTGACTGTAACTTCCACAGCTTACAACATACTGGAAGATTAGAGAGGAACTGCTAGAGGCAAACCCACTCTCCACTGAGAGCAAAGGTGGAAATAGAATAACTTGGGAAAATAGACATTTAGTGCAGTGGCAAAGCCAAACACACCTTGAGTTATCACAGCTCACAGTAATGGTGGTGTGATAACGGAAAAGTTCAATGAAGGTCCCTTGTGCACTATTTTAAGAGGCAGAAGTAAGTATAATCCAATGTAGACAGGTTCCCATCTAAATTGGTTATATTCTGGCTCTTAAAAGGGTTTGTTTATAAGTCCCTCAACTATGATGGATAAAGGAGGCCTTTTTGCATTTGCTGATAGGAAGTCAGGGAGATGGGAGGGAGGATGCCTGCTGGGACAGCTTGTCCCTCCTCTGGGATACCTTGGCCTGTGTCTCTCCCCTGTGCCAGCCCCCCATCCCTGGCTTGGGGCTCTGCGGAGTTCAGCCCAGCCCCCCCCTTCCAGTGACCTGGTCTCCTCTCTCCCTCGCCTGCCCGCCTCGCCCAGCCTGGGCTCTTGGTGGGGGTCCCCGGAATGGTGAAGGGGCTACATGAAGCTCACCAGCTCTATGGCAGGTAAAGACCCTCCCCCCGGGGACCAGAGGCCCCTGCCTGCACCCCTCCTTTGGTGGCCTTCCTACCTTCCCGGATTCTTCCCTTCCCAACTCCCCCTCCTAATATCCCCTTCCCTTGCCAGGACTCTCCTTCCCAGGAACCCCCCTCCCCCCAGGACCCCTCCTCCTCCCCCCAGGACCTCCTCCATCCCCTGCTCTCCGGCCCCCTCAGATTGCCATGGTCCCAAGTCCTGGCCTTCGCAGCAGCTGTGGCCCAAGATGGCTTCAACGTGACCCATGATCTAGGTCAGTGGGGTTTGGGGGTGGGGGAAAAGGCATGAGGTTGATGGAGAGGGGTGGGGAAGCTCTGAGATTTGGGGCCCAAGCCAGAAAGCACCTCTCTTCCAGTTGGCTCTTCAGACCTCCTCCCCACCCCATCCCACCCTTACCAGCCTCAAATGAGATCTGAGAGGGGCCCATATACACCCCCACTTCCCCCATAACGGGCACCTGGGGGACCAGAACTCTTAGATTGGACCACTTAGCCCCCATCCACCCCACCTACTGTGTGACTCAGCCATTGGGTCCAGCCCTGGCTTCCCTTGCCCAGCCTCCTGTCCCTGCCCACAGCCCATGCCCTGGCTGAACAGCCTCCACCCAATGCGTCTGAGCGCTTCCGTGAAACGTTCTTACCATCTGGTCACCCACCGCTACCTGGTTCTCTGATGCATCGGCCTGACCTGGCTGCTGTGTTGGATGCACTCGGCACTTACGGCCCCTCTGCCTTCTATGCTGGTGGCAACCTCACGCTGGAGATGGTGGCAGAGGTGAGCACTTTGGGAGCCCCTCTGCACCTTCCTTCCTTGTCTTCCTTTCTACATATATTTACTGGGTATTTCGTTTACTTAAAATTCTAGAATAGACAAAACTAATCTCTGGTGATGGGATTCAGATCAGTGGTTGTCGGGATGGGAAGGGTTGACTGGGATGCACAAAAAGAACCTCCTGGGATGATGGAAATAGTCTATCTTGATTGGGCTCCCAGGGCTGGTCAACCTGTACAGAGGCCTGTCCTGTCCCTCCCAATCCTGGTGGAAACCCACAATCAGCCTCATCTTCCCTGAACTCACAATCCCACTCTGCCCTTGGGTTTTCTAGGGACTGAGGGAAATGCCTCTTTCATTGATGACTATTAAGACTGAGGGGATTGACACAAGGGCTTACCAACACCCTCAAGAGTCTAAGTCTGAGGCAATAATGGGTTCTGAGAACTGTTGTCAATAGTCCAAAACCCCTAATGGAAAATTATGTTAAAGATAAGGATACACAAACCAACTCAGTGGTTCTCTAATCAGTGCAATGGGAGTGATTATATCTATCTCTGCCATACAGTTGTGGGAACTGAATAAATCTGTCATTCATTCTACATTCACAGAGTTCCTGCTCTGTGCCAGACCCTGTGCTGGGCACTGGAGGTATGGATGTGGTAATAGAAACCCATCTCAAATAGACTTAACTGGGAAGTCCAGCAGAGTGTGGGCTTTAGGTCTGCTGGATCCAGAGGCTCCATCCACACTGTCAAGGCTTGGTCTTTTTTCCTTCTGTCTCGTGACTCTACTGTCCTCTGTTTGAATTCATTCTCTGTTGGATCCTTTTCACACCTGCTTCCCACCAGCCATTCTTGCAGCAAGCCATCCCAGAGAAAGAGTATTCTCATTCTAGTAGTTCCAGCAAAAGCCTCAAGGTTATGTCTCATCAGCCTGTCATAGGTCTCATGACTATTCCCAAACCAATTACTGCGCCATGAAAAGTAATGCTCTTATTAGCCAGACCTGGGTCGTGTATCCTCTCCTAGAGGTGGAGACAGGGATGAAGGCGATTCTAACAAAGACCATCAGAGCTTTAAAAGAAAAAAAAACAAAGTTGAGTTTATTAACTTGCCAGAAAAAAGAACACATGTACACCAGCCAAGAAATTCAAGATATAGTTCACTGAGGGTAGATTAGAAGTGAGAAGTTTCAAGTACTGAAAAAGGAGAGGCTTCCTAGTGTTATGCTACTTTAGGATTGAAAATTAGCATGCTGGATAGGATGGAATGAACCCATTGGCTTATATAAGATTGGTTCATTAGTCAGTAGAGTGCTTAATTATGTCATTTCTGCCAGGGTCATGTAGAGTTTATGATTTTGTTGTGGTTTTAGTTGGTTGTAGTGAAATGAAGAATTCAGTTTTGATATCTCTCAGGCATGTGCTGCTGTAAGTGGAAAATCCTTTTTTATATATAAGCAGAGAGGGCAGTTTGTACAAAGACATGGAATCATGAGTTTAGGAACTGCAGGTCACTCTGAGTGGCTGTACAAAGCTCACTGGGAATAGCAGGGCATGAAGTAGAAGATATAGGCAGGGCCAGATCACAAGGGACCTTGAATGTCAAGCTAAAGAGGTCATTTATGAAATGTACCCAGCACAACGTCTGACATAGTAAGTGCTCAATGTTAGTGCTTCCCCGCTTCCTTTTTCCTGTGATACCCAGGCTGATCGGGTCCCTCAAGGCCATGATGAGAGTTGCAGAAGACATAAAAGTTATAAACATCTGACCCATCTATGATCCAAATACTATAAGCCAAGTCCATATGCTCACCATGTGATGTGTGGCTTACAGTGGCGGTGGGGTCATTTTCTCTTCTCCAGGCTCAGCACGCAGGGGGTGTCATAACTGAGGAAGACTTCAGCAACTACAGTGCTCTCGTGGAGAAGCCTGTGTGTGGCGTATACAGAGGTGACCTCTCCTCCAGCTCCAAGGGTCCCTACTCAGGAGAAGCCTCCCAAACCCTGGCCACATGCTTTTGGCCTAGAGAGTCCTCCCCTTTTTACAGGAGAGAAACTGAGGCAGCTAACTGTTGAAGCAAGCCAGAGCCAGCCTACCTTCCAAAGTAGTCATAAAGTCAGTTACCTGAAGTATTTAGGATATGGGGAGGTAGGTCTTGTCAAAAGCTCAGGTCTAGAAGTTGGGGTTCTAGCCATAGGTGTTCTTGATATGGGCTCTGTGCTTCCTTGCTCCATCCCCAGTCCCACTCAATGCCCAGTACTAGCCAAGAAGAATTATAAGACCAAAGTCCATCTAAGCTTCTGGTTATAACAAACTTTTCAAGACAATCATAGACCCACCCCCTCATTGTGCCAAAAAGAAACTGAGGGCCCAGGGAAGGAACAGAACTTAATCTGTCAAACTCAAAGCCAATGAAGAACACAGAAAGCCAAGTTGATGACATGGGGAAATCCATGTGCGCTGAACTCAAAGTGGCGGGTTCCTAGGTCCCTCAGGAGGTTCACAGGTTTTCTCCTCTAGGAGGCCCAGATCACCTCAAGCCCCAAGAGAGACTGCCTCTGAGTTCAGGTTTCTAGGCCTCAATCTTCAGCCCAATTCCTCTACCAGAGGCAGTAGTATATGGAGCAGATGAAGAACATAACTTTGGAGCCAGGAAGACCTGGATTGGAGTACCAGCTGTGCCATTCACCTTGAACAAGCCCCTTCCAACTCTGAGCCTTGGTTCCCTCCTTAAAATGGAGATAATAATAGTGCTTACCTCTCAGAGTGGCTATGAGGATTGATGAGATGATATTGGAAGTTGCCCTGATCAGAATGGGCACTGAATGTGTATTTGATTTTCCATTTTCCCTCCCCAGCCTGTGTTCTCTTGGCAATGTCAGTACCTTGAGTACTCTGGCCTCCCCTTGTCTCCTGTAACCTTAGACCAGCTGCCTCTCTGTGCTTCAGTTTTCTCACCTATAAAATGGGGATGAAAACAGTACCCATTGTGAGGATTAAATGAGTTAATTAGTTACTGTTTGTGTTATACATCAGGCGTTATTATTCCTTTGATGTCCACACATCTAACAATAGGGGCCTTACGTAGGAAGAAGAGGGTTGCTGCTCCCAAGAAGTTTCAGGGATGGATTGTCAGGGGCCCTGAATAGTATCCTGGCCTGTGGGAGGAGATGAAAAGAGACACATGGTGGCCAGGAATCCGGACAACTGGACACCTGTCACTGTTCTCCCAATGGCCTATATTATGACTCTGAGCAAATCACAGTCCTCTTGAGCCTTACTTTCCTTGTATGGAAGAGGAAAATGAATACCAGTGTTCTGGGTTGGAGTCCTGGCCCTGTCCTTGACTTGCCATGTGAACTTCAGTGTGTCCCTTTGCCTTTCAACGCTTTTCCGCTCAATGCAGTTTTCCTATCTGATGAGGGAGTTCAGTGCAGTGGTCTCAGTCTGCATGATGGTGGGATGTGGAGATGAGCCTTACTTTCCTTGTATGGAAGAGGAAAATGAATACCAGTGTTCTGGGTTGGAGTCCTGGCCCTGTCCTTGACTTGCCATGTGAACTTCAGTGTGTCCCTTTGCCTTTCAACGCTTTTCCGCTCAATGCAGTTTTCCTATCTGATGAGGGGGTTCAGTGCAGTGGTCTCAGTCTGCATGATGGTGGGACGTGGAGCCTTGACCCCTCCCTTGCCATCTGGTCATTTCCTGTCCTTTCAGGCCACCTGGTTCTCAGTCCCCCACCCCCGCATACAGGCCCTGCCCTCATCAGTGCTCTCAACATCCTGGAGGGCTTCAATCTCACCAGCCTGGTATCCCGGGAACAGGCTCTTCACTGGGTGGCAGAGGTAAGGTCGACCCCTGCATCCAACCCTGGGTCTGGGGACACTGGGAGTAGGGGTCTAGGGTACAGCCATGGGGCAGGACTAAATCCCCTCCAAGTTTTCTCACACAGGAGGATCTTCAGTGTGGGTGCTGGGGAGGGCTTGGCAGCCTCTGCCACGTTCCTGCTCCGTTTTCAGACTCTGAAGATCGCGTTAGCCCTGGCCAGCAGACTGGGAGACCCTGTCTATGATTCTACCATCACTGAGAGCATGGATGACATGCTCAGGTGGGTTCTGCATCAGAATTCTGGGGACTGCAGAAGTGGTGGTGGGTGTGGGGAAAGGATCAGGTGAAAAGCAGCCAGTGGAGCAATATGGCTTGAAGTCCCAAGTCAATTTCAGCTCAACGGTAACTCACAGTGTGACACTGTTTGCTTCTCTTTGCACCTCAGTTTTCTCCATGTGTACAATAAGTTGATCTATTTCATATGACTCAATTTTTTTGACCCTAACAGGGCCCATCTGTCCCCCCTTTTGAGTGAAAAAGAAAGCCTATAACAATGAAAAGAGTCTCCAAGAAAATACTGGAGGCTTTGGGAATTTTTATTATAATTTATCTACGTTAGCAGCATAACATAATAGTAAGACTGTGGGCTCTTGTCAGACTGCCTCAGTTCAAAGCCCAGATTTGTCACTCACTAACTGTGTAGCCTTGAGCAACTCATTTAAACTCTCTAAATCTCAGTTTCTAAAGGAGGCCTGACAAGAATGGTGCCAACCTTATGAAGTCGTGGTGAGGACTAAGATCACACATGCAAAGCACTTAGCATGTTGTCTGGCATATAATAAATATTCAACAAATATCATTATTATTATTAATTGGCAATAGGAGTAAGAATGGTTACTATTTAACTGCTACTATAACTGGCTAGCTAAGGGACAGTCGTAAGCCAAAAATAGAATTAATGTAAATTTGTATTTTCATAATTTCATAAATTTGTTTTCAAGATCAATACAAATTTAGCTCTAAAACATACACATAAACTTATATTAAATTCATTCAACTAATTCATCCAATAACTAGTTAGTTATTAAGGGCTTATTATCTGCTAAGTCCTGTGTCTTCAAAAAAATAGTCTAATAGCAAGTAAAGATTTCTGTATACAACCCCCGCCACACACACACACACTAAACTCTTAATAAAGCTTTAGTTCTAGACTACAAACATTAGGTTAAGTGAATTCAGTGTATTCACTCAAAACAAATATTTTCTGAGCATCCACTATGCCCTAGGTATTTTCATACAAAGGATTAAGTGAAAGTCAAATAACTAAAAGATTCTTGATTTAAATACTAAATAAAAGTTGGCTCTAGAAGAGAATCTGAGTAACACCTAAATAAATTCATTCAGTTCAACAACTATTTCCTGGATATTCCCTATATGCTAGGAATAAGTAAGCTTCTGCTCTCATAGATCTAATAGTCCAGTAGGGGAGGCAGATGTTAATCACACAGACATTACAAAGTGTGGTAGGTGGGATGTAATGAGAGCCTGCTGTGTATTTGTCTCCATGTTTCTTCAGCAAGGTGGAGGCTGCCTACTTCCGGGGCCACATCAATGACTCCCAGGCGGCCCCTGCCCCACTCCTGCCTGTTTATGAGCTGGACGGGGCTCCCACAGCTGCCCAGGTGCTCATCATGGGCCCTGACGACTTCATTGTGGCCATGGTCAGGTATGTCAGCTCAGACTCAAAACCTGGCACAAGGGATCACGTGGACCAGGGGGCTAGGTGGGAGTGAGGGTGGGCTCAGCGCTCACCTGGCCCCAATGTCGACCCCCAGCTCCCTGAACCGGCCCTTTGGCAGTGGCCTCATCACCCCGTCGGGGATCCTGCTCAACAGCCAGATGCTGGATTTTTCCTGGCCCAATAGGACTGCTAACCATTCTGCACCTAGCCTGGTAGGGTCTTGCTTCCCTTCTACCTTGGGGTGTCCAAGGCTAGGTAGGATATGCTGCAGTATGGCTGCCCCTCCCTCCCTACTTACTATAGGAACTTCCATTACAAAAAGGAAAAGAGCCTAAACAAGGTGTCCACTTCACCTTTAGCCCAAGTCTGGGGCTTGGAGCTTGGTGGGTCTGAAAGAACATTGTCCCATTCTGTCACTGTTTTACTGTGTGACCTGTGGAAAGTCTCGCCCCCTCTCTAGGCCTCAGTTTCTTCACCTGTATAATGAAGATATTGGCTCCTGATTTTATGTTTTGGTTGCTTTTTAACACTAATGGTCTATGACTATGTGATGCTGAGCTGATGGGACTCAGCCCTAATGTTGGAGAAAGAAGGTAGGAATTAGTGTCTGTTGGAGGCCAGCACTCTTACACCCTGCAGGCTGGGGCCCCAGCACCACAAAGACAGATATGACCAGGGTGGAGATTATCCTGTTCTTCTCCATAGCCATCTTCCTTGGCTTGGTCCCTTCCGCTGACATCCATGGTAGCCCCATAGCAGCCCCATAGGTTATGGATCCACCATCCACCCCAGCTACCCAAGTACCCTGCCCATTTCACAGATAGAAGACTGTGGCCTGGGGAGAGACCAGTTTCCCATAAAAACTGGGCCCATAGAAGATACAGGTGAGGGAGAGAGGTTGGAAGAGTGATGAAGTAGCCCTTACTCTATCTCACCCCACCTTTCATCCCCCTTCTGGTTTTGGTCCTCTGAAAACAGGAGAATTCGGTACTGCCGGGGAAGCGGCCACTGTCTTTCCTGCTGCCCACTGTGGTCCGGCCAGCAGAAGGACTCTGCGGAACCTACCTCGCTCTGGGAGCCAATGGAGCTGCCCGGGGCCTCAGCGGCCTGACCCAGGTGAGGTTTCTTCCATGGTAGGCCTTTTGTAGCCAGGAGCCAAGCTGTGGCCTGGGCCGTAGATGTCTCTTGCTCATTCTCATCTCTTATAGCAAACATCTCTTACAGCAAACGTGGACTGGGTTGCTTTGCGCCAGGCTCATCCTGGGCATTGGGCACCTAGGCTGTGCTGAGTTTCTTAGTGAAAACGAAGCCCTGAAGCTCCTTTTCTTCCCAGGTTGTGGGGGAAATTGCAGGGCCAGTAGAACTGAGAGTGACATAGCATCTGGGCTGCCTGGGTTCTGTCAATATCAAATTCCATCATGCCTCTGCTCAACATCTGAATATGCAAGCAGCCGACTTTAAGGTCTGATTTTGAAAGGAAGGACCTTCTACTCTCTAAAATGCCTCACAACAATTCCACAAATGTCTTGAGCCCCTGATATATGTGCCAGGGCACATACTTTGGCAGGTGGCGAGTTAACTAACCTGAGCTTTGGAATAAGACACCCTGGGTCCCAACCCCAATGCTGCCAATTTCCAACTTTGTGATGTTGGGAATTCACTTAACCTCTCTGAACTTCAATCTCCTCATCTGTAAAATGGAGATAATAACATTAGCTAACATTCTTACTAAGTGCTGGGCTTGATATTACATGCATTAACCCTTTAAGTTTCCTAACTTTGGAAGAAATCCTTATTTCTATTTCGTATGTGAGGAAACTGAGGCCTGGAGAGGTTAAGAAGTTAGGTCCAGTTTAGTAAGAATGGGCAAGTAGTTTTGTTCCAGAGCTTATTCACACTGCAAATAAGCTAAAGGTACCCACATTGTGCCCTCGACCACCCTCAGCTAATAACCCTGCCCTGGCTAGGGAGAAGGGAGGACAGCCCTGGGCTGAATTAAGGGAGACTGGGTGCTAGTCGTGCCTCTCCCCTGGCTCTCTTTAAACTCTGAAGTGAATCACTTTTCTTCTCTGGCCTTCAGTTCCCCCTCTGTGAAATGGGGACAGTCATCACAGACCTGCCTGTCTTCTGGGGCTATTGAGAGGCTCAGATGTCACCCTTGGTGTAAGGAATCTAAAGACTAAGAAGTTTGGACCAGAGGTGAGGGCTGTAGAGTCCTGAACCCCCATCTTTGGGATAGCCCTGACTTCTGCCCTTTGGCTGCCCACAGGTTCTGCTAAATGTCCTGACCTTGAACCGGAACCTGAGTGACAGCCTGGCCCGTGGTCGTCTTCACCCAGACCTGCAGTCCAACCTCCTGCAGGTGGACAGTGAGTGCAGAGAAGAGATCCCCATGGGGTGGGCACAAGACCAGGTAGAAAAAGAGGCTCGTCCCAAAGGTGCCCTTGCCTCAAGTAGTACCAACTCCCTGCCATTGAAAGTTTCGTTTCTTCCAACTGACTCCTCTTGAAACAGTAAAAGATCAGGGGATTGGAGCCAGTCCTGCTGTCTCCTGGCTGAGTAGCCTTGGGAAATTCATGTCTCTACTCTGAGCCTCTGAGCCTCAGTTTTCTCATATGTAAAACAAGATTCATTTATTCATTGTGCAAACCATTCATTCAGCAGTTTGTATTGAATACCTACTGTGTGCCAGGCATTATCCTAGGTGCTGGAGATACTGCATTTCCAGGGAGAAAGGAAAATAAATCATCAAAGAAATGAGAAAACAAAATAAATGTTCTGCAGAGCATTAAAGCAGGATAATGTATAGGACTGACTCAGTGATTGTTGAGGGCTTCTCTTTGGAGATATTTAAGTTGAAATCTGAAGAGTGAGAAAGAGCCCACCATACAAAGAATTGGGGCAGGCTTTATAGGCCAAGGGAACAAATGCAAAGAGTTCAGGGCAGGAATGGGCTTTGTGTGTTTTAGTAGAAAGGAAATCAGGGTGAGTGAGGGTGAGATGAGACCAGAAAGGCAGACAGGGGCCAGATCATGGACCTTATAGGTTATGGTGAGGACATAGACTTTTCTCTAAGGACAGGTGCTTAATTTTGGACGCAGCTTCATTTTGTAAATGGGAAAGTATGTACACCTTTGAGGAGTTTTTATTACAACAGACAGTGTGTTATGCAAGTCCAAAGGGGAGACAGAATTGAGTGAGACATGGTCCTTGCCTGTTCAATATTCCCATTTTATAGATAAAGAAACTGATGCCCACAGAGGTTATAAACTAGTCAAGGATCAAGCAGTAAGTGACAGAATTGAGAGTAGAACAAATACCTGGATGATACTAAAGACTCAGTTCTTTATTGCATGGCTCTAGATATCTCCTAGACTGAAGGAGGTTGGAAGCTACCGACCTAGATCCTCAGCAGTCACAACCTATAGTTGGCAGGTGACACTTTGGATTCCAGCTGATAGATGATGAGGCTGTCCTTATCAGTGCATTTTGCTCAACTAATATCTTCTCATTTATAACAAATGTGAAGCTTTATGCTAAATTATTTGGGGGTGATGGTGGAGTGAGCCCTCCCTTGAGGGGCTCACAGTCACAGACAGAGATATGAGGCAAAGGGAAAGTTCATCTACCTGAGGACTCTGGGAGGCTTTATGGAGGAGGTGACAACTGGCTGGGCCTTACATATGAGCAGGAATTGGGAGTGTAGAGATAAAGAACATACTGGACAGGGGAGCAGCCTGGGCAAAAGCCAGGAGCCCAGCTGGACTAGAGACATTGTTTTCCAAACTTCAGAATTTATCCATCACCTTCATGATTTTTGCCACATTTACGCATCATCTAAACCATTAGATGGACTATAAATGGACTCTCGTTTTAACCTAAATGTATTTTTAAAGTAAATCTCATATCACAATGCCAAATGGAAAAATGGCAATATTTGCCACAAATGGATGATAAATAGCTATTTAAAAAATCTAATATTTTTAGGTTTCAGTTAGATATTGTTGCCCCAGGAAGGCTCTGCGACCTGCTCTCTCTTTTAAGGAAGGAGGTGAGACATGTTAGAGACCAGACTGAAACTTAGTCCTTGTTATTATCCAAGAGATTGAAAGTGAACCAGGAAAGAGACTCAGTGATTTAATGCTATTCAATGTTGTCTTTATCTCCAGAACTACCCTCCAGTAATCCCATTTGAGGAAATAGGCCCACATCTTTGTTGAAGAGCAGTGGGAGGTGAGAATACAGGGCTTATCATGGAGGTCCATGTTAAGAAGCATGGTCTTTATCCAGTTGAGTAAGGGGAGGGATGTGACCTGATTTGTTTAATGTAGGGGAGGTAGATTGAAGGGAGAAGAACTTAAGTCGGGGAAATACAAGAAGCGCTAGGATAACGGCCCAGCAAGAGATGATGAAGAAAGACCTGAACTTAATGCAAGAGGATGGGAATTTGTTCATTTATCCAATAAATACTTGCTTAACATTTACTATGTTCTTACCCTGTTCTAGGCACTGGAGATCAATAGTGAACAAAACATCCCTGCCTTCAAAAATCTTATCTAGTGCAGGGAGACACAGTAAATAAATAAATCCAGGTAGCATTAAGTGCTTTGAAATAAAACAAAGCAAGGCGAAGAGAACAGGGGCTGCTGTTTTAGATAGTGATCAGGGAAGTTCTTGAACACTGGAATGAAGTAAGAGAGCCAGTTTTATGACCCCCGAGGAGGAGAGCATTCCAGGCAGAGAGAACGGCAAATGCATAGGCCCTGAGATAGGAGTATGTTTGGCCTCTTTGAGGGACAGCAAGGAGGCTAGAGCAGAGTGAACAAAGGGAGAGAGTGGAAGGAAGTGAGGAGAGGAGTTTAAAGAGGTAGTGAGGTCCCAGATGATGTTGGGCCTTAGAGGCCGTGGTAAGGACTTTGGATTTTATTTTGAGTCATCAAAGCTGTTAGAGGGTTTTGAGTGAGGAAAGCGACATGGTCTAATGGTTTAAAAAGATCTCTATGACTGCTGTGTGGAAGGCAGGACTGGAAGCAAAAAGACCAGTTAGTGGGCTATGCAGTAATCCTGGCAAGTAATGATGGCAGCTTGGCCTAGGCAGGTGGAGATTAAGACTCCAAACCCCTTTTTCCAATATTAAGAATGACTGTATATTATTGATCACTTACTGTATGCAAAACTTTGAGTTTGGTGCTTTCTGTATATTATTTCCTTTAATCACTGCAACAATTTCATGTAGTAAATTCTTATATAATCCCCATTTTATGCACAAGGAGACTGAGGCTCAGAAAGGTAATTTGCCCAAGGTCACACCACTCTTCAGTGGAGTATCCAGTACCAGGACTCAGGTATGACCATAAGATTCCTGAGCTAGTGCTCTGAACACTCTGAATGTGTGTGTATGTTGGGGAATGGTTTTCAGGTGAGTTCACAGAGGAAGAGATTGAGTTCCTGGAAGCCAGAGGTCACCACGTGGAAAAGGTAGATGTCTTATCTTGGGTCCATGGCAGCCGGAGAACCAACAACTTCATCATCGGTGTGAAGGACCCTCGGAGCCCAGATGCAGCTGGAGCCACCATCCTGTAGAGCTGTGGAGTGGGGCGGGGGTCTCTGCTCCCCGCCTTTGCATGTTCCTAGAGTCCCTCCTTCTCCCGGGTTTGGTCTCAGGGGGACCCCAGGGATGCTCCAGATCAGGGGCCAGAGGGGATGCTTAGCAAACCCTATCCCAAAGTAACTGGAAAATTCTCTATCCAGAGGCCTGTGGTGGCAGCAGTGATGGTGGTGGTGGTGGTGGTGGTGGTGGTGGTGGTGGTGGTGGTGGTGGTGGTGGTGGTGGTGGTGGTGGTGGTGGTGGTGGTGGTGGTGGTGGTGGTGGTGGTGGTGGTGGTGGTGGTGGTGGTGGTGGTGAGTGTCATTGTTCACAATCAGGCAGGCAGGACCTTGGGGAGTCAGACTATCTGTCTGTCTGTCTCCTTTCCCCCAGCCATCCTGGCCCTGAGCTTAGGGACGTGCTTGCAAACCCTTCTCAAGGGTCCTCACAACCCCAACATCTCGTCTGGCCTCACCTGGGCCTTGTCTTCCAGCTCCCTTCTTCTGTCCCCAGCCTCATTTCTTAAATGACTAGGATTTTTTTTTTTAATGGACCATCCTGGGGAGGGGGGTGTTCCTCTCTTCCTCTCACCAGGGTGAGGCGGGGACCTTGCATCTGGGGGGCTCAGGGTGTGGAATAGGAGTGGGGGTAGGGACCAGCTCAGGGGCTTCCATTTGCAAAGGGGAATTAAAGAAAGAATATTGCTTAACCATGGCTCTGGCTTAATTTATGTTTGGCTGTGTTGGGAGTGTGAGTGAGAGAGGTCGAGACCTGGGCTCACCCTGTTCCAATATCCCTGATTCCAGGGCAAACTGGATTCAGTTTTGTGGGGGTCTTAATAATATCTGCCATCTCCCTAAGACTTGCACTATAAAAATTATAAAGATAATTAATAACAATAATTATAATTATAAATGGCATCCATCGAACACTTACTGTGTGCCAGGCTCTATGCTAAACACATCATGTGCATAATTTTATTTATTACAAACCTCATGAGGTAGACACTAATATTATGCCCATTTTATAGATGGGAAACTGGCAAAAAGAGGTTAAGGGATTTGTCTAAGGTTCCTCATGTGTTAAATGGAAGAATTGGGATTTAATCTCAGGATTTCCAGCTCAATTAAGAGCTCTGAACCATTTGGACATCTAATAAGTGAACTATTTGTTATAAAGTATACTTTATATACTATATATAGCAGACAATAAATACCTTTTATAATTATGTCATTCATACATGAATGTATCCATCCATTATATTCCAGGTACTTTGTTAGGCACTGGAGATTCAGCTTTGAACAAGACTATTTTTTATATGTTTGCTTTCTACAGGGGGAACAAAACATTAGAGAAATAAGGACACAGACAATTAGGCTTACTGCCATCATGATAAGCTCTACAAGGGATGCTATCAGAATGTATAACAGGAAAGTTAATCTAATTCAGGAGTGGGGTTGGATCAGCCAATACCTCCCTAGGGAGATGGTGAGGAAGAGTAGGATTGACAGAAAAGGATTAGATGTGAAATATGAGACTGTCATTTTAGGCAAAGGGATCAGTATGTGCAAAGGTCCTGTGGTGAATATGTCATGTTAAAAGAGGTGGAAGAATGCCAGTGTATTCTTCCTAGAGCTGGGGTCTGTCAATAAACTTTTTCTGTAATGGGCCAGATAGAAAGGATTTCATGCTTTGAGGCTATATAGTCCTTGTAGTAACTACTCAACTTTGCTGTTGTAGTGCAAAAGGAACCATAGGCATTATGTAAACAACTGGCTATGTTCCTTTCTCATAAAGCTTTATTTTACAAAAATGGCCCAATTTAGCCTAAGGGCAGTAGTTTCCTGACCCCTATTCTAGAGCATACTGAGAGCATGATAGTATGAGATGAAACTGATGAGACATGTTTCAACAATCTTATGGGGCTGGTGTTAATTCCACCATTTTATGGATGAGGAAATTGTGGTTCAGAGACAAGAAGTAACTTGCTTAAAGTCACTCAGCTGATAGCTGGCAGATCCATAATTCAAAAGCAATCTGTTTGACTCCAAAGATCATATTCCTGTCTTCTTAAAACTTTATTATTTTATCTAATTATAGATGTAAGAGTTATTTGAATATCAAACAGTCCATAGATACAATGTAGATGATCCAAGCCCTCAAAATCTCAACTTTCCAGAAATCTAGTAATTTCATATATATTCCTCTAACTCTTTTTTCTGTAGATATAACATATATTATACTATTTAAAAATAAAAAAGGGATTATATTATTCACACTGTCTACATCTTCCTTTTTTTTCTACTTACCAATATATAACACAAACATTTTTTATGTCAACATCAAAACATATGGATCTACTTAATTATTTATAATGATGCATCATGGTTCATTGGAGTGTTTAACTAGTTTCCTATTGATGACATTTTGTGTGGTTTCCACTGCAACTTGGAATATCTTTGCCCTGATGTTTTTAGGTGCCTGAGCCACCCCTCTAAGTCATACCAACTCTCCTAAGCTGTCTTTCAAATGATAGATTACAGGACCTTCCATGTACCATGCTTTTGTGGGGTCACATAGGTCTCTTGGGGCATTTCTTTTCTTAAATACACAAATAATGACAACTTTGAATAAAAGATTCGTTTGATGGAAAAATTCTTATTTTTAAAACAAAATTCTGATGTCTTAGAAAATCTGTTTCATCACTCAGTATATGAAATATCATATTTTATTCCGCAAATATTTTCTTAAGTGTCTACTCTCTGCCATGCACTGCCTGAGGCACTGGTGATACTGGTGAACAAGACAGACAAGGTTCTTGCCCTCCTGGACTTATATTCTTAATCATTTTTACTTTATTTAGATTGTACTATCCTGATCTACCACAGAAAACAAAATTCACCACATTGAGAACTCTCAATGAAATGAAGATACAAGGAGCTTGGAAATTTGAAGAGTTTTTACAATATTCTCTCAGGTATCAGTAGCTTAAAGATATAACTACTTGCTTCTTAAATTGGATATTTTGGTATTTCCTTCATATCTTGGTTAAGATATAAAGCTTCCTGATTTCAAAACTTTCTACAAAATTATAGTAATCAAAACAGTGTGGTATTGGCATAAGGATAAATATATTAATGGAATAGAATTGAGAGTCCAGAAACAAACTCACATACCTATGGTCAATTGATTTCTGAAGTTTGACCCCTACCTCACATCACATACAAAAAGCAACTCACAATGGATCAAAGCCCTAAATATAAGAGCTAAAACTGTAAAACCCTTAGAAAGAAACATGTAGGTAAATCCACATGGCCTTTAATTTGGTAATGGTTTTTTAGATATAACACCAAAAGCACAAGCAACAAAAGAAAAAATAAATTGGACTACTTCAAAATTAAAAACTTATGCGTCAAAGGACACTATCAAGAGAATGAAAAGACAACCCCTAAAAATGAGAAAAATATTTACAATCACATATCTGATAAGAGTCCAGTATCCAGAATATATAAAGAACAGTCAAGAGTACAACAATCCAATTAAAAGCTGGACAAAAGATTTGAACAGATATTTCTCCAAAGAAGATATACAAATGGCCAATAAGTCTATGACAAAATGCTCGATACTATAAGTTACTAGGGAAATACATATCAAAACCACAATAAGATACCACTCCACATTATTATAGGTTGGCTATAATAATAATTTTTAAAAATAATTTTTAAAACATTAACAAGTATTGGTAAAGGTATGGAGAAACTGGAACCCTCATACATTGCTAGTGGGAATGTATAATGGTGCAGCCTCTGTGGAAAATGGTTTATCATTTCTTTGATAAGATAAACATAAAATTACCATATGACCCAACAATTCCACTCCCAGATATATACTCCAAAGAACTGAAAACAGGTGTTCAAACAAAAACTTGTATATGAATAGCAGCACTATTCAGAAAAGCCAAAAGATGAAAGCAACTCAATGTCTATCAATGGATGAATGGATAAACAAATGTGATATATTCACACAATGGAATATTATTCAGCCATTAAAAGGGATGTAACACTGACACATGCTACAATATGGATGAACACTGAAAACATGCTAAGTGAAAGAAGCCAGACAAAAGGTCACATATTGTACGATTTCATTTACATGAAATATTCAGAATAGGCAAATCTATAGTGACAGAAAGCAAATTAGTGGTTGCTTAGGGATAGGGAAATGGGGAGCACTGGGAGGAGGGGCAATACTTAAAGGGTACAGGGTTTCTTACTGAGACAATGAAAATGTTCTAAAATATTGATTGTGGTGATAGCTGCACCTATCTGTGACTATACTAAAAACACTGAATTGTACACTTTAAATGATTGTAATGGTATACAAATTATCTCTCAATAAAGCTATTTAAAAAAAGGACATAGCATTTGGCAATATCAACTGCAGTGGAACGGATGCAAGCTATTTGACCTAGCAATCCTAGTCCTAGGTATGTATCTAGCAGAAAACTGGACACATATTCATCCAAAGACATGTACAAGAATATTCATAGTAGTACTATTAAAAATAGACTTAAAGTAGAAACTGAAATGCTCATC